AAAAAAAAAAAAAAAAAAAAAAAAGAGAGAGAGAGAGATAAAAGATTTAGAATGTTAGAGCTGAGAGGAAGCTTTGCTATTGTCTGTTACTGTGGTTTCCAGCTTAGAACTTTTTTATTCAAATAAAATGTTACACAGAAGCATGAATAAGACTGCAAAATCTGACCTGTTTTGGTTCAAATGGAGAGTGAGGCCTTAAGTTGTGTGATCTTGCCACCACTCCAGGAGCCTGAGAGAACACAGTTGGAAGATCAGTGATCTTATTCAAGCTGCACACTTTACAAGTGAGGGAACTGGTCCAGAGAGAGGCATGCTTTACCATTAGTCATATGGCACAGGTAGTCTAGGATTGTTAATTTTCATCTTAGTGCTTTTCCTCCTTGTACTCCTGTTAAGTTGCATGTGATATAACACTGTTTAGGAGAATCCTGATTATTCTGAAGAAATCCTCAAGGGCGAGTTGGCACGGATCATCTACAAAAATTCTGTAAGCATAATTAAGGGTAGGTATCTTTTGAACATTATTTTTGGTAAGAAGATAAACAGCCGGGCGCGGTGGCTCACGCCTGTAATCCCAGCACTTTGGGAGGCCGAGGCGGGTGGATCACGAGGTCAAGAGATCGAGACCATCCTGGTCAACATGGTGAAACCCCGTCTCTACTAAAAATACATAAATTCAGCTGGGCATGGTGGCATGTGCCTGTAATCCCAGCTACTCAGGAGGCTGAGGCAGGAGAATTGCCAGAACCCAGGAGGCGGAGGTTGCGGTGAGCTGAGATCGCGCCATTGCACTCCAGCCTGGGTAACAAGAGCGAAACTCCGTCTCAAAAAAAAAAAAAGAAAGAAAGATAAACATTCTTTTCCTAATGAAGAAGGTGTTTAGCTAATTTTGAAATCTTCCATTAGAATGTATATAAAACTCTGTAGGAATAGTGTCCTGTTTTTTTCAGAAAATACTTATTTTCCTAGGCTATAATTGAATATTTCAGTTATTTCTTTTTTAAATTTACATTCTACTACCATTTTTTTTTGAGATGGAGTCTCACTCTATTGCCCAGGCTGGAGTGCAGCAGCATGATCTCGGCTCACTGCAACCTCTGCCCACTAAGTTCAGGTGATTCTCCTGCCTTAGCCTCCCAAGAAGCTGGTACTCCCATTTTTTTCTCCCCTTACCTTTCAATAGGTTTGTTTTGGGCTTGGTGGCTCACGCCTGTCACCCCAGCACTTTGGGAGGCCAAGAGGTGGGTGGATGACCTGAGGTCAGGAGTTCGAGACCAGTTCATGGCCAACATGGTGAAACCCGTCTCAATTAAAAATACAAAAATTAGCTGGGTGTGGTGGTGGGCATCTGTAATCCCAGCTACTTGGGAGGCTGAGGCAGGAGAATCGCTTGAACCAGGGAGGTGGAGGTTGCGGTGACTTGAGATTGTGCCTGGGCAACAGAGCAAGACTATCTCAAAAAAGAAATTTCAGTAGGTTTTTGGGGAACAGGTTTAGTGGTGATTTCTGAGATTTTGGTGCACCCATCAATGAGCAATGTACACTGTACTTAGTATTTAGTCATTTATCCTTCAATTTATTTATTATTATTTTTTGAGACAGGGTCTCACTCTGTTACCCACATAAGAGTGCATTGCTCACTGTAGCCTCAACTGCATGGGCTCAGATGATTCTCCCACCTTAGCCTCCTGAGTAGCTAGGCATGGACCTCTATGCCTGGCTAGTTTTTGTACTTTTAGTAGAGATGAGCTTTCACCATGTTGCCTAGGCTAGTCTTGAACTCCTGATCTTAAGTGATCCTCCTGCCTTGGCCTCCTAAAGAGCTGGCATTACTGGCATGAGCCATTGCACCCAGACTCAGTAAGTTCTTTTTTTTTTTTTTTAAATAGAGATGGGGTTTCACCATGTTGGCCAGGATGGTCTTGATCTCCTGACCTCGTGATCTGCCCATCTTGGCCTCCCAAAGTGCTGGGAGGCATGAGCCAATGCACCCAGCCAGTAAGTTCTTTTTTTGTTTTTTTAACCCTTCCACTGCCAGTAAGTTCTTTTTTTTAGACGGAGTCTAACTCTGTCACCCAGGCTGGAGTGCAGTGGCTCGATCTTGGCTCACTGCAACCTCTGCCTCCCAGATTCAGGCGATTCTTCTGCCTCAGCCTCCCGGGTAGCTGGGATTATAGACGCCCACCACCATGCCCAGCTAATTTTTGTATTTTTAGTAGACACGGGGTTTCATTGTGTTGGCCGTGCTGGTCTTCAACTCCTGACCTCGTGATCTACCCGCCTTAGTCTCCCAAAGTACTGGGATTACAAGCATGAGCTGCTGCACCCAGTCCTCAGTAAGTTCTTATGGAGTAGTTAAATCATGTGGGCAGCTGAAAATTAGTTTTTTATTGTTTTTTTTTTTTTTGAGATAGAGTCTTGATTTGTTGCCAGGCTGAGGTACAGTGGCACAATTTTGGCTCACTGCAACCTCCGCCTCCCAGTTTCAAGCGATTCTCCTGCCTCAGCCTCCTGAGTAGCTGGGAATACGGCCGTACACCACCGTGCCCAACTAATTTTTGTATTTTTAGTAGAGGTGAGGTTTCACCACGTTGGCCAGGATGGTCTCCATCTCTTGACCTCATGATCCTCCCGCCTCAGCCTCCCAAAGTTCTGGGATTACAGATGTGAGCCACCACACCTAGCCGAAAATTAGTTGTTTTTTAATGAAACTCCAAAAATATTAACAATAGCTTTGCTTGAGTAGGGGGGCGATGGTGTGAGAGGACTATGGGATGACTTCTTTTTTGTCCTATTTCTCATTTAAAAAAAAAAACAACAAAAAGGTGAACTCCAGTACATGAAGAGAATGCTACTTTTAAAGTAAAGTGATTCTTAAGAGTCTTATTGGCAATAAACCTCCTCTCCCCTACTTTTTAAATTTAGGTGCAGAATTTCACGTGTCACTGCTTTCAATTGCACAGCTATTTGACTTTGCCAAAGATCTACAAAAAGAGATTTATGATGAGTAAGTAAAGTTAGTAGAAAGGTGAATATATCCATTTGTCATTTTGAGATTAAGGGTTTGATGTTGGATATTTAGTAGAAAAGAGAAGATACCACACTAAATCCCTAGAATAAAAGCTAATATCGGCCAGGTGTGGTGGCTCATGCCAGTAATCCCAGCACTTTGGGAGGCGGAGGTGGGTGGATCACCAGAGATCTGGAGTTCGAGACCAGGCTGGCCAACATGGTGAAACCCTATCTCTACTAAAAATACAAAATTAGCTGGGTGTGGTGGTACGTGCCTGTAATTCCAGGTACTTGGGAGGCTGAGGCAGAAGTCATTCGAACCTGGGAAGTGGAGCAGTGAGCAAAGATCGCACCATTGCACTCCAGACTTGGCAACAAGAGCGAAACTCCATCTCAAAAAAAAACAAAAAAAAAAACCCTAATTTCATTTTATTTTAAATTTTTTTTTTTTTTTTCTGGCCAGGTGTGATAGCTCACACCTGTAATCCCAGCACTTTGGGAGGCCAAGGCAGGTGGATCATTTCAGCTCAGGAGTTTGAGACCAGCCTGGGCAACATAGTAAAACCCTGTCTCTACAAAAAATAAGCTAGGTGTGCTGATGCATGCCTGTGGTCCTAGCTACTCTGGAAGCTGAGGTGGGAACATCACCTGAGTTCGTGAGGTTGAGACTGCAGTGGCATAATCCTGGCTCTCTACAACCTCTGCCTTCTGGATTCAAGCGATTTTCCTGTCTCAGCCTCTCTAGTAGCTCAGACTATAGTCACACCCCACCATGCCTGGCTTATTTTTGTATTTTTAGTAGAGATCTGGTTTCACCATATTGGTCAGGCTGGTCTTGCACTCCTGACCTCAGGTGATCCACCCGCCTTGGCCTCCCAAAGTGCTGGGATTACAGGTGTGAGCCACTGGGCCCGGCCTGGGAAATAGTTTTTATGGTACTGCACTTGTTACAGGGATGTCCTGTGTAGATTTTTAAAGCATAGATAACTGTTTCCCTGATATTCTGAGTTAGTTTCTTGTTGGGATAGATACCAGTAAGTTATATTTTTCAGCCTTCAGCATCTACACACTGATGATCCTCTCACTTGGGATTATGTGGCAAGGCGAGAATTAGAGATTGAGTCACAGACAGAAGAGCAACCTACGACGAAACAAGCCAAAGCAGTAGAGGTTGGCCGGAAGGAGGAGAGGTGCTGTGCTGTATATGAAGAGGCAGTGAAGACTCTGCCAACAGGTGAACTTCACCGAACCATGGTGTGATATAGAAGGAATAGTATCTCTGAGTGTGAAACTTAAGCTTTCGGGCTGGGCGCGGTGGCTCAAGCTTGTAATCCCAGCACTTTGGGAGGCCGAGGCAGGTGGATCACGAGGTCAAGAGATCGAGACCATCCTGGCCAACATGGTGAAACCCCGTCTCTACTAAAAATACAAAAAATTAGCTGGGCATGGTGGTGCGTGCCTGTAATCCCAGCTACTCAGGAGGCTGAGGCAGGAGAATTGCCTGAACCCAGGAGGCGGAGGTTGCGGTGAGCCGAGATCGCACCATTGCACTCCAGCCTGGGTAACATGAGTGAAACTCCGTCTCAAAAAAAAAGAAAGAAACTTAAGCTTTTGTTCTCATTGCCAAAATCAATATTGGGGATCCCTCTGTAGTATAGTTTACGATGTGCCTGTTCCTGCCTTGCTTTTTTTTTTGAGACAGAGTCTCACTCTGTCATGCAGACTGGAGTGCAATGGTACGATCTCGGCTCACTGCAACTTCTGCCTCCTGGGTTCAAGCGATTCTCTTGCCTCAGCCTCCCAAATACCTGGGATTACAGGCTTGTGCCATGACGCCCAGCTAACTTTTGTATTTTTAGTAGAGACAGAGTTTCACCATGTTGGCCAGGCTGGTCTCGAACTCCTGACGTCAGGTGGTTCACACATGTTGGCCTTCCAAAATGCTGGGATTATAGGCGTGAGCCACCGTGCCTGGCCATGCCTGGTTTTCTAACTTGGACTTTCTCTGATGGTAATGGAGCATTTATGACCTTCCATAGTAGTGGTATTTATATTCATTTATTTAGAGAAAATGATACTTAGGAAATAATTCCTAAGATTCTTTAATTATTATTCCGTAATTATCTTATTATTATTTGATTTTTGAGACAGGGTCCTGCTGTTTCACCCAGGCTGGAGTGCAGTGGTGCGATTGCGGCTCACTGCAACCTCTGCTTCCTGGGTTCAAGTGATCCTCCCGCCTCAGCTCCCTAAGTAGTAGGAGTAGTAATAGTGCCACCACGCCAGGTCAATTTTAATATATTTTTTGTAAAGATGGAGTTTCACCATTTTGCCCTGGCTGGTCTTGAACTCCTGGAATCAAGTGATCTTCATGCCTTGGCCTCCCAAAGTGCTGGGATTATAGACATCCTTAATTATCTTTTTTTTTTTTTTTTTTTTTGGCAGAGTGTCGCTCTGTTGCCCAGGCTGGAGTGCAGTGATATGATCTTGGGTCACTGTAACCTCTGGTTCCCGGGTTTAAGCAATTTTCCTGCCTCAGCATCCTGAGTAGCTGGGATTACAAGTGCATGCCACCATGCCCTACTGATTTTTGTATTTTTAGTAGAGATGAGGTTTTACTATGTGGCCAGGCTGGTTTTGAACTCCTGACCTCAGGTGAGCCACCTGCCTCAGCCTCCCAAAGTGATGGGATTATAGGCGTGAACCACTGTGCCCGGCACTTAATTCTCTTTTGATAGAGATTTAACTTTTATTCGGTAATAGTGTAGAATAAAGGCAGAGGGTATATATTACATGGATAAGGCTTTCAATTTTTATGTTTAAACTGTTACCCGGTTGTTTTCCCCTAATATTTGAGGTGTTTGATTGGCTGTAATCAGAGTAACACTTTTTAAAATCAGGCTGATTTAAGCTCTTCTTTAGATGAGAGTTTTTCCCCTTGAAGTATGATGATTGTTTTTTTTCCTTCTCTTTTAATAACTTTGATGCGATGAATGTTGAACTAAGTGATCTGATCAACATAATCTTTCTGACTTTTCCAGAGGCCATGTGGAAGTGTTACATCACCTTTTGCTTAGAACGATTTACTAAGAAGACAAATAGTGGATTCCTCAGAGGGAAGGTGAGGATGTTACATGGTTACATGGTTACATGGTTACAGTGGTTGACTAGATAGTGACTGTCTTCTGAGAGAAGAACAGAAGCACAGCTCTTTGGGTGTCTGGGACAGCTTCTGAGAACTTTTTGCTTAGCCACTCTCTCTCTCCTTGTGGGTGACGTGTCATTCTAAAGGTCTGAGTTTGATTTGCTGCCAGGTTAGGAGGGGCTCTCATGTAACTGGGATCTTTTGGTGCAGCTGCCCAGTGCGTCTATTCATAAGTGAAACCACCATGCAGGAGCAAGTTAGCTTCTTTGAGTTCTCAGAAATGCGTAAAACTGCTTTTGTTCATGTCAGAGGCCAGAGGCCCCTGCTGGGATCTTTGAAATGAACTGAGGGATTTCTCTGTTTTCAGAGGCTGGAAAGAACCATGACTGCATTCAGGAAGGCACATGAACTCAAGCTTCTGCCAGAATTCCAATACGAGCAGTTGGTAAGGACATGGAAAATATATTATCTGCCAGTTACAAATACCTTATTCCAGTTGTTTTGTTTTAAATATTTTTAAATGTTTGAAATATATATAGTCTTATGACAAAGGCCATTCAGGAGTTTGATATGTAAAGTGTGTTTATATTTGTTTGCCAGTATTTGGCATATGCTAAAAATGAAATCTGTACTAGCAGAGGGAGGAATATTATATAGTGAAAAACACTCAAAACAAGGGTCATGATTTGAGTTCATTTTTTTTGTCTACCTATTCCTTTTTTTATTTTTTGAGATGGAGTCGCCCAGGCTGGAGTGCAGTGGTGCAATTTCAGCTTACTGCAACCTCTGCCTCTTGGGTTTAAGTGATTCTCCTGCCTCAGCCTCCCAGGTAGCTGGGATCACAGGCGCATGCCACCATATCCGGCTAATTTTTATATTTTTGGTAGAGATGGGGTTTCACCATCTTGGTCAGGCTGGTCTCTAACTCCTGACCTGAAGTGATTTCACCTGCCTCGTCCTTGCAAAGTATTGGAACTACTGTGCAGGTGTGAGCCAGCATGGCTGGCCAAATTTTTTATTTTTAGTAGTAACGGAGTTTCACCATGTTGGCCAGGTTGGTCTCAAACTCCTGACCTTAAGTGATCTGCCTTGCCTCGTCCTCCCAAAATGCAGGGATTACAGGCATGAGCCACTGTGCCCGGCCTAGATAATCCATCTTCTGTCAGAAGGAACATATCAAACCTTTCTTCTGTTAGACTGGAGGCTCTATGGGTGGTAGGGAATACACCTGATTTGTTCACTATTGAATCTAGCATATATAGTGTACAGGAAGAACACTTTCTGAATGTACTGATTATATATTGCCATTTACTTTTTCACAAATTTGTACAATTGAAGTGGTTTTAGGATGTTTTTTTCCTTTTGTTAAAATAACGTGGATATAAGCATATAAGGTAAGATTTCCTTTCAGTTGTGTACTTTTTGGGCTATACTTGTTGAAGTAAAAGTCCCAAATTGAAGCATTATGCACTTTCATGATTCTTGTTACAAATTGTCAAATTAGCCAGGCGTGGTGGCTCATGCCTGTAATTCCAGCACTTTGGGAGGCTGAGGTGGGAGGATCATAAGATCAGGAGTTCAAGACCAGCCTGGCCAACATGGTGAAACCCCATCTCTACTAAAAATACAAAAGAATTAGCTGGGCACAGTAGCATGCACCTGTAATCCTAGCTACTTGGGAGGCTGAGGCAGAAGAATCGCTTGAACTTGGGAGGTGGAGGTTGCAGTGAGCCAAGATCACACCACTGCACTTCAGCCTGGGCAGCAGAATGAGACTACATCTCAAAAGAAAAAATTGTCAAATTGAATTTCAGAAAAATTACATTAGTTTATGTTACGTCCAACTCTGTTTGAATGAGTACACCTATTTTCTTGATACCCCACAAATACTGATTGATTTGTGTGTGTGTGTGTGTGTGTGTGTGTGTGTGTGTGTGTGAGACAGTCTCCTTGCTCTGTCTCCAGCCTGGAGAGCAGTGGCTCAATCTCTGCCCACTGCAACTTCCACCTCCCAGGTTTAAGTGGTTCTCCCACCTCATCCTCCTGAGTAGCTGGGATAACAGGCGCATGCACCGCCATGCTTAGCTAATTTTTTTTTTCGAGACATTGTCGACTCTGTTGCCCAAGCTGGTATGCAGTGGCATGATCTGGGCTCACTGCAACCTCCACTCCTCCGTTCAAACGATTCTCCTGCTTTAGCCTCCCCAGTAGCTGGGACTACAGGCATGCACCACCACGCCCAGCTAATTTTTTTATTTTTAGTAGAGATGGGGTTTTACCATATTGGCCAGGCTGATCTTGAACTCCTGACCTTGGATGATCCACTTGCCTCGGCCTCCCAAAATTCTGGGATTACAGGCGTGAGCCACTGTGCCCGGCCTAATTTTTGTACTTTTAGTAGAAATGAGGTTTCACCATGTTGGCCAAACTGGTCTCGAGCTCTTGACCTCAGAGGATCCGCCCCCTCACCTCCCAAAGTGTTGGGATTACAGGTGTGAGCCACCACGCCCAGCCTATTTATTGAGTTTTCATCTTCTGTTTGGTGAGCATGTGTTCTGGCATAGTGAACTATTTTATTAAAAACTTAACTTACAGCCTAAATTCTTTAGGCTTTCTAGTTTTTACCTCTTCTCTGTTTTTGGATAGCCCTCTTGGGTAGGAGCAGTGAAAAGAGGAGGAATTCCAAATTGTTCACTTTGTGCCTGTTTAACAGCCATGGAAAATTTGTTTTGATACCTATGGATTATCACATAGCTCATATCTTTTTTATTTTAAATTGTAATGGAAAGGTTGGTGAAATTCTTGCTTCAAATGAGGTTTTAATTGTCTCCATGTACATAGGTTGTTTAGGTTTCAGTAATTAATTTTCCAGTGATCCCTCATCTTATCTAGATTAAGTCCTTGCTGAGTCATAACTTCCTGAAAGAAGCTCTGGAGGTGGCAGTAGCTGGAACTGAATTGTTTAGAGACTCTGGGACAATGTGGCAGATGAAGCTGCAGGTGCTAATTGACTCAAAGAGCCCTGACATAGCCATGCAATTTGAAGAATCCTTTGTGCACCTGAAACCCCAGGTCTGTGAGTAGGGTCTTTTGTATTCATTATGTACGGGAAACCTTTTAAGACTTTAGTCGAAGCTCATTTAGAATGTACTTGTCTATTGAAAGCCAGCTCTAGAGTGGCATTTTTAATTAAGTGATCATGGTTCATAGGTCAAGAGTAGAAGAATTTTCTTCTATTTAATATCTTTTATTTGGAAGTTGACCAAATTATATAAAACTTCCTATTCTATTTAGATATTTTATAAAGTTAGAAATACTGGTAGAATATGTCACTTGCTGAACATAAGCCCCAATTTTTTTTTTTTTCTTTTTCTTTTCTTTTCTTTTCTTTTTTTTTTTTTTTTTTGGATTGGGACAGAGTTTTGCTCTTTTTACCCAGGCTGGAGTGCAATGGCGCGATCTCGGCTCACCGCAACCTCCGCCTCCTGGGTTCGGGCAATTCTCCTGCCTCAGCCTCCTGAGTCGCTGGGATTACAGGCACGCACCACCATGCCCAGCTAATGTTTTGTAGTTTTAGTAGAGATGGGGTTTCACCATGTTGACCAGGATGGTCTCGATCTCTTGACCTCGTGATCCACCCGCCTCAGCCTCCCAAAGTGCTGGGATTACAGGCTTGAGCCACCGCGCCCGGCTTCTTTTTTTTTTTTAAAGATAGAGTTTCACCATGATGGCCAGGCTGGTCTTGAACTCCTGACCTCAGGTGATGCACCCGCCTCAGCTTCCCAAAGTGCTAGCATTACAGGCGTGAGCCACCGTGCCCAGCCAAGCCCAACTTTTAAACACAAACGTGTTTGTAACTTAAAGGTTTAAATCTTCTTGTTTGTTTGTTTCTTTGTTTGTTTTGAGACAGAATTTCACTCTGTGGCCCAGGCTGGAGTGCAGTGGCACGATCTTGGATCATTGCAGCCTCTACCTCTGGAGATCAAGCAATTCTTGCGCCTCAGCCTCCTGAGTAGCTGGGATTACAAGCATGAGCCATGGTGCCCAGCCTAATTTTTGTATTTTTAGTAGAGACAGGATTTCTCCTTGTTGGCCAGGCCGGTGTGGAACTCCTGGACTCAAGTGATCTGCCCGCCTTGGCCTCCCAAAGTGCTGAGATTACAGGTGTGAGCCACCGTGTATGGCCAGATTTCCTTTGCAGTGAATTTTTTATATTAGTAGGAAAAAGTGTATTCCAGAAGTTGAAGTAGGAAAAAAAAACTGCTCATTTGGTGTTGTTGCTGTTGTTTTTATTTTTAGACGAAGAATTATTCTGTTGCCCAGGCTGGAGTGTAGTGGCACAATCTCGGCTCACTGCAACCTCCACCACCTGGGTTCAAGTGATTCTCCTTGCCTCAGCCTCCCAAGTAGCTGTGATTATAGGCATCCATCACCATACCTAGTTAATTTTTGTGTTTTTAGTAGAGATGGGGTTTCATCATGTTGGCCAGGCTGGTCTCAAACTCCTGACCTGAGGTGATCTGCTCGCCTCAGCCTCCCAAATTGCTGGGATTTCAGGTGTGAGCCACCGTGCCGGGCCTTTTTTTTTTTTCTTCCTTAAAAAAAAGTCTTACTCTTTCACCCAGGCTAGAGTGCAGTGGCACAATCTCGGCTCACTGGAACCTCTGCCTCCTGGGTTCAAGCAATTCTCATGCTGCAGCCTACGGAGTAGCTGGGATTATAGGTGTGCCTCAACATGCTTGGCTCATTTTTTGCATTGTTTTTGAGATGGAGTTTCGCTCTTATTGCCTAAGCTGGAGTGCAATGGCATTATCTCGGTGTACCACAACCCCTGCCTCCTGGGTTCAAGCAAATATCCTGTCTCAGCCTCCCAAGTAGCTGGGATTACAGGCACGTGCCACCATGCCTGGCTACTTTTTTTTTTTTTTGGATTCTTTTTAGTAGAGACGGGGTTTCACTATGTTGGTCAGGCTAGTATCGAACTCCTGACCTCATGATCCACCTGCCTTGGCCTCCCAAAGTGCTGGGATTACAGGCCTGAGCCACCGTGCCTGGCCCATTTTTTGCATTTTTAGCAGAGATGGGGTTTTGCCATGTTGGTCAGGCTGGTATCAAACTCCTGGCCTCAAGCGATCCACCTGCCTCCACCTTCAAAGTGCTGGGATTACAGGCGTGTGCCACCTGCCTCGCCTTTGCTGCTCATTTGTAGGTACCTCTGGAACATGAATGAAGATCAGATAGTTCAGCCTAGATTAATTAGTTCTTGTGTTATGGGTCTTAGACAGCAGAGACATGACCCGGGTAGCTGTGGGTCTAATTGTGTAGGCTGTTAATTGCTTACTTAACTAAAAGATGATTGATGATGATAACTACAGGAAATACTTCCCAGTAGAAAGGAACTAAAATGGCCGGGCGCAGTGGCTCACCCCTGTAATTCTAGCACTTTGGGAGGCCGAGGTTGGTGGATCACGAGGTCAAGAGATTGAGACCATCCTGGCCAACATGGTGAAACCCTGTCTCTACTAAAAATACAAAAATTAGCCATGTGTGATGGCATGTGCCTGTAGTCCCAGCTAGTCAGGAGGCTGAGGCGGGAGAATTGCTTGAACCCAGGAATCGAAGGTTCCAGTGAGCCACGATCATGGCACTGCACTCCAGCGTGAGTGACAGAGCAAGACTCTGTCTCAAACAAACAAACAAAAAGAACTAAAATTCACAGAAGAGTGTTCTCTTAGTGACTTGGTCAGAAAGCTGGTTGTGTTCTTATGTGCTACTCCTGCTGGGCAATGAGAATTCTGTTACAATGAGGACAGTTTGGGAATAAATCCATATTTTACATGTTGATTATCTTAGGAGGAACCTACCTTTTTATTTAGTTTTCAGAGAATAGGACTAAGCTGTTATTTTATAACATTTAAAAAATTGATACATAATAATTTACATATTTTTAGAGTATATGCAATATTTTGTTACATGCTGTTTTCTAACTAATATTTTTTAAACTGGGAGTAGGTTTGTCTGTCATTGTGGATTTCTTGGGCAGAGTGGAGTGAAGGTGCCAAAAGCCAAGAAGACACTGAGGCAGTCTTTAAGGTATAGGCTCCATGTTCTAAGTCTTGCGGTGTGGGGAATGGCAGATGGGTTCCCTGGTTGGCCAGCTCTAGTGTTGTTTCATCAGCAGGTATGCCTAAAGCACTATGGAGTGGCCTCAGGTGGTTCTGGGAAAATCTGTTTTGATATCTATAAGTTTTCTCATGTAGCTTATTTCTTTTTTCTTTTAAATTGTAGAAAGCTCTGTTAGCTGTCATTGGTGCCGACTCAGTAACCCTGAAGGATAAGTACCTGGATTGGGCTTATCGAAATGGTGGCTACAAAAAGGCCAGAGCTGTGTTTAAAAGGTACTCACAGATGTTCACAGTTACTAGGCTCTTCTCCCCATAATCAGCCCTTCATACCCAGATTATTTGTGTCACAAATATTATCTGAGGAAGTAATCCAATATACACTTTTTCTTTCTTTTTTTTTTAAAAGATGGAGTTTGGCCTTGACCTGGGCTCAAGCAGTCCTCCCATCTCAGCCTCCCAAGTGTCTGGGACTAAAGGCATGTACCACCATGTCCAGCTAACTTAGAATTTTTTTTTCTTTGTAGATGATGAGTTTCACTGTGTTGTTCACTCTAGTCTCAAACTCCTGGGCTCTAGCAGTCCTCCTGCCTCAGCCCCCCAAAGTGCTAAGATTATAAGTGTGAGCCACCATGCCTGGCCTTCTTTTTATTTTTTTGAACAATAAAAGTGATTCATTGTGGTGGGGGGAAACATAACAATGATAATTTATTATACTATCAATTATATATTATCATATAACATATAATTTTAACATGTGTTTTTATGTAGTTGAGATGTTAGTACAATTGTATTTCTCTTTTTGAGATGGAGTTTCGCTTTTGTTGCCTAGACTGGAGTGCAATAGTGCAATCTCAGCTCACTGCAACCTCTGCCTCCTGGGTTCAAGAGATTCTACTGCCTCAGCCTCCCGAGTAGCTGGGATTACAGGGATGTGCCACCATGCCAGGCTAATTTTGTATTGTTAGTAGTGATGGGGTTTCTCCATTTTGGTCAGGCTAGTCTCGAACTCCTGACCTCAGGTGATCCACCCGCCTTGGCCTCCCAAAGTGCTGGGATTACAGGCGTGAGCCACTGCCCGGCCTATAACTATAATTATAATTTTACTTACGGTTTAAAAATTTTTTTTTTTTCTTTTCTGAAATGGAGTCTTGCTCTGTTGCCCAGGCTGGAGTAGAGTGGTGCAATCTCGGCTCACAGGAACCGCCACCTCCCGGGTTCAAACAATTCTCCTGCCTCAGCCTCTCGAGTAGCTGGGATTACAGGCTTCTGCCACCACAGCTGGCTAATTTTTTACAAGCCAGCTTTGGATTCAGATTTTGAGACGGAGTTTCTCTCTTGTTACCCAGGCTGGAGTGCAACGGCGCCATCTCGGCTCACCGCAACCTCCGCCTCCTGGGTTCAGGCAATTCTCCTGCCTCAGCCTCCTGAGTAGCTGGGATTACAGGCACGGGCCACCATGCCCAGCTAATTTTTTGTAGTTTTTTAGTAGAGACGGGGTTTCACCGTGTTGACCAGGATGGTCTCGATCTCTTGACCTCATGATCCACCCGCCTCGGCCTCCCAAAGTGCTGGGATTACAGGCTTGAGCCACCGCGCCCAGCCAATTTTTTACATTTTTAGTAGATATGGGGCTCTGCCATGTTTGCCAGGCTGGTCTCGAACTCCTGACCTCAGGTGATCAGCCTGCTTCGGCCTCCCAAAGTGTTGGGATTACAAGTGAGAGCCACCGTGCTGGGCCTAAATTTTTTTTTTCTCACTCTGTTGCCCAGGCTGAGTGTAGTGGCATCATCTTGGCTCACTGTAATCTCTACCTCCCTGGTATAAGCGATTCTTGTGCCTTAGCTTCCCACATAGTTGGGACTACTGGTGTGTGCCACCACACTCAGGTAATTTTTTAATTTTTGGTAGAGATGGGTTTCACTGTGTTGCCCAGGCTGGTCTTGAACTTCTGGGCTCAAGTGATCTGCCCAGCTCAGACTTCAGGCCTGGCCATGCCCCGATAATTCTTAAATTTTTTGTGTAATTGGGGGTCTCACTTTGTTGCTTAAACTGATCTTGACCTTGTGGGTTCCAGTGATCTTCCTGCCTTGGCCTCCCAAAATTCTGGGATTGTAGGTGTGAGACAGTGCCCAGCCAAAAATTCTTTATAAACATCATTTATTAAACAAAGCTATATGAGCTGGGCACAGTGTGTCAAGATGTGTAATCTCAGCACTTTGGGAGACTGAAGCAAGAGGATCGCTTGAGTCCAAGCATTTGAGACCAGCCTAGGCAACACAGCAGGACTTCATTTCTACTAAAAATGCTAAAAAAAAAAAAAAAAAAAAAAAAAAATGTTGGGTGTCGTGACGTGCCTGTGATTTCAGCTGCTTGGGAGGCTGAAGTGGGAGGATCACTTGAGTCCAGGTGGTTGAGACTGTAGTGAGCCGTGTTTGTACTACTACACTCCAGCCTTGGTGACAGAGCAAGACCCCATCTCAAAACAAAAACAAAACCCAAAACAAAACAAATAGCTGTATTGAAGGCAGCCAATGTGCATATGAAAAAATGCTCAACATGACTAACCCTTAGAGAAATGCAGATCAAAACCATAATAAGATGCTGTCTCACCAGTCAGAATGGCTATTATCAAAAAATCAAAAAATTATAGATATTGGCAAGGCTGAAGGGAAAATCTTATACACTGTTGGTGGGAATGTAAATTATTCAGCCATTGTGGAAATGAGTCTGGAGATTTTTGGTAGAACTTAAAACAGATCTGCCATTCATCTCAGCAATCCCATTACTAGGTATATACCCAAAGTAAAATAGTTCTATCAAAGAAACATGTTTTTGTATGTTCATCACAGCACTATGCACAATAGTAAGGGCATGGAATCAACCTAGGTGCTTATCATCAGTTAATTGGATAAATAAAATGCAGTATATGTACTCTATGGAATACTATGCAGCCATTAAAAAGAACAAAATCATGTTCTTGGCAGTAGCACGGATGCAGCTGGAGGCCATTGTCCTAAGCAAGTTATCACAGGAACAGAAAACCAAATACCACATGTTCTCACTTATAATTTGGAGGTAAACACTGGGTACACATGGACATAAAGACAGAAATAGTAGACACTACAGGGTGGGGGAAGGAGGAAAGGGCTGAAAAGCTACCCATCAATTAGTATGCTCATTACCTAGGTTACAGGGTCAGTCTACCCGAAACCTCAGTGTCACAAAATATACCTGTATAACAAACCTGCACATGTACTCCCCTGAATCTAAAATAAAAGTTGAAATTAAAATCATACATGGCTACCAGGTGTGGTGGCTCCCGCCTGTAATCCCAGTACTTTGGGAGGCCGAGGCGGGAGGATCATGAGGTCAGGAGTTCGAGACCAGCCTGGCCAACATGGCAAAACCCCATCTCTACTAAAAATACAAAAATTAGCTGAGTGTGGTGAAGAGTGCCTGTAATCCAGCGACTTGGGAGGCCGAGGCAGGAGAATTGCTTGACCCAGGGAGGCGGAATTTGCAGTGAGCTGAGATCATGCCATTGCACTCCAGCCTGGGTGACAAGAGCAAGACTCTGTCTCAAAAAAAAAAAAAAAAAAAAAAAGACTGATGG